TTCTTACTAAATTTCAGAAACTTTTTTGGCCCATGTCAACTCTTAAAGTGCAGGTGTTTACCTATTCAATGTTGAGCCTTTCTCAACTATGCTGGTGTATAACGCATTCTCCGAAGATTACAGGCTGTGCGGCATCGTCCAAAGCACCCTACTTGCATTCATTTTAGGATAAGCAATGCACAAAGTAGAGAAGTTGGAGGCGCTGTCTGGTACACTAGTTTTGGCCTATTAAGTGATTGTTAATCCATGTTAGATGAAACTCACTTTCAATTTAATTGTTGTATTAAATTATGTCACCACATTAGATTCTCAAATTAGGTCTAAATAATATTTTTTGAAAAATAATTCAATTTATCTTTGACAATTTTTTTAATACATGTAACAATAGTATGTTTTAAGTCGAGAAAGGAATAAGAGAAAATAAGACTTAGAATCCGAGTTGTTAACCTAGTAAGGAAGGTCCCATATCAATGGGGATAGAGCCTAGGCCTGTACTTTTTGTTTTTTTTGACAATTGAATTTGAGCATTGATTGCAAACCAAGTGTTGAGAAAAACAACCCAGTGAACAAGATTTCGAACCATCTTGCACCAACATACATCCAATGACAAAGTGATTGGTCAGTATGAACATGAAATTCTTAATAAAATTTTGAAAAGCGCATGATTGAGGCTAGGGGTGACAATCTTTATCTTTTACCTATTACTAATTAACTTGCTCAATCCACTAATAAATTAATGAGTTGAGTACCTATATTAATTAATGCGAGTTTTAAACAGATTGGATAATAGCACTCAATTTAATTAAACGTGTTAAATACTTATCTTTCTATTAATTAACAAAAAAAAAATTCAAATACAGACACAAACTATTACTCTAAACACACACACACTTTTTACTTATATATTTTAACACTCAAAGATGCACTAAAAGACCAAAATAAAAAAATATATATACATACTAATATACCAAAATACATACACACTCTAACACACCAAAAAATATATAGATACTAATACAAAATAAACACACACATATCCACACTAATTGATACACAAAAATATACACACACAAACAAACACAAAAATATCCAAGGTCAGGTTTACAGTTGAGTTTGGATTTGGAGTTTGGATCCGGATCTAGGTCTAGGGTTAAGTCCGAGTCTGGGGTTTGGGGTAAAGTCTGGGTAGAGGATCTAGCCTAGGTCCGGGTCCAGAGTCAGCATTAGTGTATTTGCATGTGTGTGCATTTTTTTTGTCTATTAATATATTTGTGTTTTAGTATATTAATGTGTATGTGTTTGTATTTTGATGTGTTATTATATGTGTGTATTTTGGTTTATGAGTTATGAAGTATGGATACTTCATCATGGTCGACATACCCGTATCGAATATGATACTTGTCAGATATTCGAGGATACGTATCGGATACATATCATACGTATCCGATTATTAATAAAATATATGGATAATTCGCGGATATTTTTACACATAGAGCAAGATGTAAAATTTTAATTATAATATATAACCTTGTCTTTTGAGTTTACATACAATACATAACATTAGTAAAAATCGATTTGACTTTGAAAACTGAATGTTTTTTAAGTATTATCTTAAAAAAGTATAAAAAACTGAGTTAGTTAAACTATAACCTTTGAAATAAATACTTGTAAACATATCAACTAGTTAAATATTGGTTCTAATTCTTTTAATTGGTCACGTGCGCTTTACAGATATATCATAATAAAACAATATTACACGTTTTTAAGGTAAAAATTGCTAATTTTGTTTACTATTGTTAAAAAATTATTAAAAATTATAATTTTTAAATTGTTCAATAATGGTAAAATATAAATATATTTTATTGTAAATGTATCTTGGTCGTACCCTTATCTTTTTTTTTTTAGGTTTGTCGTATCACTGTATCTGTATCGTATCATACCCATATCTTATATACGTATCCATGCTTCCTAGTGTGTGTGTGTGTGTGTGTGTGTGTATTTTAGTATATTAATGTGTGTATGTATATATATTTTGGTATATTAGTGTATGTGGGGGGTGTGTATTTTGGTGTGCTATTAAATGTGTTTGTATTTTTTTTTTTCGCTCATGTATTTTTAATGTATTAGTGTGTGTATTTTAATGTGTCAGTTTTTGTGTGTGTGTGTGTGTGTTTTTTTTTTTTTTTTTTTTTTTTTTTGGTTGTTTTTGTTTTTTTTTTTTTTTTTTTTTTTGTATTAGTGTATGTTTTATGTATTGTATTAGAACATCTTTAGCCTTGATTCAAATATAAACTCAAATTTAAATTTGAATCAAAATGACCCAAAAAACTTATCTAACATTAGACTCAAATCTATATTAAATTAAGACAAAATTTATTCTTGACCTAAATTGAAGCAAACTCGAATTATATATCAAATTTCTAATGGTAACTTTTTAACCTATCTAAAATTAAAAGACTTATTTGACGACTTTTTCTCTACCTCTTATTGCCTCTGTCTACTATGTTGCTTCTATCGTTGACCACCACCGAAACTTTCACAAATCATTTGAAGGCATGTAGGTAAGTTTTTTCCTTTTTATTTTCCATCTTCTTGATTTCTTGTGTTTTTTAAAACTCTAATCCCACTCATCTTTCATACTATATAAACCATAATCCTACTTATCATATTTTTTTTTGATTTTTTCGAGTTAAACATTATCAGTAGTACAATTTCAGGCAACTGATTCTTCCTAAAATTTTAAGTCTTCACTACCCACAAATTTAAAAAATTTGTAATTTTATTTCTTAAATCTTCCATTTTTTGTTAAAAACATATGTTTTTGTGTTCTTCAGATTAGACCCATGTCAAAATAGTTATATTTTTTTTCTTTTTCTTTATCTGAATTTATAAAAAATGATAAAAGATTAGAACAATCTTAGAAATCTATGATAGTTTCTTTATTTCTATGTAATGTTATATACATTTTGATTTTTTTTATTTTTTTTGAATTACCCATTTGTGGAGAGATATAAAAATTTCATTTATTTTATCAAATATCATGATTTTAATGACACAAAAAAATAAGTTTTTGGATAATAAAAGAATTTTTAAAATATTTGAGTAGGTATTTGATTTTGTCCATATAAGTACTCTATACCAAATTAAACTTTTTTCTCAAATTTAGACTTAAATTTGAGTATCAATTTGAATCATGATTGGAGATGCTCTTAATATGTGTAATGTAATAAGTCACAAAAAATAATATAATGCTTGTTTCTGTAATCGATCATATTGTGAGTCGATTTCTCAGTTAAAGTTGTGACTTTGTCGATTTGATTATCATAGAGTCCTAAGCAGGCCTACACAATTTGGATAAGCCATCTTCGTAAAAAGTAATATAATGTTTACCTCCACTTATGGACATGCTATTTCAACGCCACGAAATCGCTGTCATTTTCCAAAAATAATACTATTGAATTGCTGAAGGAAAGAGCGATACCGGCACATTTGAATCCTATGGCAAAGAGATGCAACTTTGACAAAATGACCAATGAGACTTCTTAATGAGATCGAAGACAAGTCCAAATAAAATCTTTTATGACCACATAATGTATGACATCCAATGTTTACTACTGCTTAGACACCATGAGAACTCAACTGAGTTTTTGTTTTTTTTGTATCTTCAGTGTTTGCAATTTACATGTACTGGATACAAAGAGACTGATACAGATTATGGGATAAGAAGAAATTTGAATTTTGAAGCTGAAAAGATCAGCAAGGAGATCAAAGGATCAACTATGAGATCAGGAGATCAAATTAGTTGGAACTAATCTTAATCTTTTTCTCTAACTCACTCCCTCATGCAAAGCGTTCTGTTGTGAAGGCTGATCTTGTCACGAAGTTGCTGAAACGACGGTGTGGAGAAAGGCTTGGTAAGAATATCAGTGAATTGATCTTTAGTAGAGATGTACTGCACATTAAGGTCGTCTTTCGTAACATTTTCGTGAACAAAGTGAAATGCAATTTCTGTGTTTCATGCGGTGGTGAAAAGATTGGATTAGCAGTAACATATGTGGTACCAATATTGTCACACCATAGGATTGGGGCTGCGAGCTTGAGGCTGAAAGGAAAAGAACTCCGGAGCCAACCTTCAAATAATATGCTTCAAGCTTCACGGAGATTCTAGAGTTGCTGCTTCTAGTGTCTGCTTTTTGGATGTTGGCAAGATTTCTACCCTTTTCTTTCCCTAAGCTAAGTAACTTGACTTGAACAAAACCCTAAAGGTAAGAAGGTATTTGCTTCGCCTGGCTGCAGCAGCAGAAACTGAAGTTCTTTAAGAAGTGACTGAAGCCATAGTAGTTCAGCTGTGGCCGATACTCTGCTTCTGTGCTTGAACGAGCAACAACTTCATAAAGTCCATCAGTGCACATCAGGCCACGATGTAAAACTTTGTCCGTGGTGTTGTCCTTAACACAAAAATGAGAGGCATGAAATTCAAACCAACAACGATTATCCTTGGTGAATTTATGAACCGAAAGGAGATTGCGTTTTACACTTGGAATATGTAAAATTATATCATTGAGAGCGCGGGAAGAATTATGATTATAAAAAGAGGAAGAGCCAAGATGTTTAATGCCCAAACCTGTGTCATTACCGATTTGAACAGTGTCATTGCCATTGTAGTCGTAAGAGAAGTTCAGAATGGAGAGGATCGAGGTAATGTGCTGGGTGGCACCAGAATCTGGATGTCATTGATCAGTGGGAACGGTAGGTACTCAGATGTTGTAAGCCTGTGGAGACAGGGCAGGAGAGGTGTATTGAAAAGCTTCATTGAAGCGCTACATGTCCGATGTGATTACAAACTTGNATCATTGATCAGTGGGAACGGTAGGTACTCAGATGTTGTAAGCCTGTGGAGACAGGGCAGGGGAGGTGTATTGAAAAGCTTCATTGAAGCGCTACATGTCCGATGTGATTACAAACTTGACTGATAGGCTGGGAGGAAGAGTGCGAGGAATCTACACCTGATCCATTAGATTGGCCACCAGAATCGTGAAAATTGCCGCCAGATGAATAACGTCCACGTCCACGACCACGACCACGACCTCCTCTGTTGTGATTGCCGCAGCCACGATTTTGTTGAGTTGGTCTGTAGTTTGAGTGCGAAGAAAGGGGCTGGTTAGTGACCGGTGGCATTGAGCAAGGTTTGTTGCTGGAGGAACATCGGTAATAGCAAGTTGATGAGCAATAGTCTAGACACGATAAAAGTATTTGAAGTCGCAAGAATCTAAATACATAGAGATTGATCAGTTTCAAGTATATATGTTTTTTTATAAGAAACAGCATTTTATTAACAAACATAATGAATATTACATACATCTAAATCAAAATTGGACAAGAAATCCAATTCAATGGACAACAAAACACTGTCCCAAAAAACCAAAAAAAAAATTATCACAAGAAACCACTCTTACATGCTAGATGATGACCAACTCAAAGAAAACCAAAAAAAAAGAACATTCTCAAACTCCTTTGTCACCAACGCCAAAAAGGATGCTAAAAAATAAGCTCTTTTTCATAGCCCTTCCCACACTTCCATTCTATCTTCAAATATTCTCGCATTCCTTTCCATCCAAACATATTTATCAACTTCCCAAACTGTAGGAAGGGCAGATATGTTGGCCTCTAGAATATTCTTTGGTACAGTGACTTGATGAAAGAAAATTGATCTGCATAAAGACCCAAGTGACATCAATTGTCCTAAAGTGAAGACTTCCTTTTTTTTTTAAATGTCAACAACATCAAGAATGAGAAGGCATGGAAAATTACCTTGANCCTGCATAAAGACCCAAGTGACATCAATTGTCCTAAAGTGAAGACTTCCTTTTTTTTTTTAAATGTCAACAACATCAAGAATGAGAAGGCATGGAAAATTACCTTGATGATCTCGCACTTTGAGGTTGGCGGCAAATAGGCCGCCAAGACAGCCAAGTGAAAATGCTGGTTTTAAGAAAAACAGAAGTAAATGTTTGGATTTAATCTCAGAGAGGAAAAAAATTACAAATTGCATCCTAAAAGAAATGAAAAAGAGGAAAGATGTAAGTAAAATTTTCAGAATACACATTCTTCATCTTTATGTATGTTTAAGATACCGACGTTCTGGTCCAACTCGTGGTTTCCTACTTACTTTCGTTCATGCTGGTACTACCGTCGAAGATAAAAACAATAGAGAATCTGGATATGCTTTCAGTATCCAATTTGACCACCAGAGATAGGTAGGATATAATACATGGGTGATTTTTTTTCAGAAAACAGCCCTTGCAGTCGAAGTTCTGATTCAGAAGAATTAAAATGATAATGCATCGTATATATCGCAAAAAGAGCTTACTCTAAAAGGATCACTTCTTAGGGATTGCACAAACATTGAGCTGCCCAAGCCCCTTCCCTGGAAAGGAACAAAATGTGACGTTCTTCTTCAAGATAGCAGTCACTACTAGTAATTTTGTGTTTTTCTTTGTTCATTAACCGAATAGCACAGAGCAATGGACAATATATGAGTTACCTCCAAATGGATATCTCTAAGTCGCCTTCCAGTTTGAGCACAAGAAATGCGAACGACTGGCTCAGCACAACTCCCACTGACAATATAGTCCCTTCCATTCATGTAATATGAACGAGTGTAGTTATGGGCATTTCCAGTAGAAGCTATCTCAAAATTTGTGTGGAGGCTCCCATCTACAGCCAAAAGTTGCTTTACCTGGCACACTCAGCAGTTAGCCTCAACCTTTACCCATCAAACAATGCCAGTAACTCATTATTTCTAGATGAGATTACAACTTCACGGTCCGTGCAAATAGACCTTAATGACTGAAACCTATTTGCAACAGGTTGAAAATCTAGTCACATCTGAGTTCTTCTATGTCAAACAAACAATGTTCATATATAATGTTAACTGAAGTACCTCATTGTCTACAGCAGACACGAGCAGATAAAGGTCATCATGAGAGAAGCAAACCATCACGTTTCCTCCTGAACTTGAAGCAGCATAGCAAGGCCGTGTTGGTTTCTGTCTTAAGTCCCACATCTTCACATCGCGGTCAAATGATGAAGTAACAAACAGAGAGCGGGAATGGTGGGAAAATTTAGCAACATTAATGGGTTCTTGATGCATATCAGTGAACAACTGTAAGCGTCTTCCACTGCAAATATCATATACAGCAACTTTTCGTGAATAACCACTTGTAATAAACTGGTCATCAGTTGAATTGACATGAACAGAAGTCAACTGCTCAAAGTCATCGAAGGTTACAGTATTGGAACTGCAGTAGCCATCTGCAACTGTCCGCATCATATCATTAATGTCATACAACCTCAACGAACCATTGTCGGAACCAGCAACAAACTGATAGTTTAACACCAAACAAAAATGATCAGAAATTCCCAATAAGTAAGTTCAAAACGGTAAGGTTAAGGCACATGTTGATCACAATCTGGGCATATAACTTGAGTATTTTAAATACTATCTCTCTCCATATATGAATCATACGGTTAAAGAAAATGGATAGTCCATGCATTTTTTTTTGGAAAGTACATCGAATCTTTGAGTAGTAAGCTTGCAGATGTAGTAAAAAACTAAAGCTGAAAAAATGCAGCCCATGAATTTAGCCAACAGTGTATTTTAGTAAGATTTTCAGGAGTTTTGCATCCAAATGCACAATGAAAGCATGTACACAAGGCCATCACTGTGGAGAAGTATGTAGTTCTTCTGTTTATAAGCAACAGAATCTTGAGAGAGAGCGAGAGAGAGTATGTAACAACCAATTGATAATGGTAAGATGCAGGAACGAATTTTATCAAAAATATAAAGCCAATCTGTATGCATTGTGTGTCATGACCGTTTGGCAATGATACAGGTGTATGATCAAACAATACAGAAGAAACGAAAATTTGATTCTCTTGAAAATTCGAACCTTCATGTACCATATGTTTTTTGAGGTAATGGTTTACCTTGGATGGATACTTTTTAAGCCAACATAATCCCAAAACACTGTTAGCCATTCCAAGTGATGGAATATAACCAACGATATTCCCTTTCTCATGGTTGATAACTATTATCTCCCCATCTAGAGTTCCAAAAACCATTAAACTAGAGTCAGATGGGTGGTACTCAAACTGCCTTGGCCGAAAGCTCTTGTTCTCTTCTTTGGTAGTATGGCTGATATTGGACATGGGGTGTAACAGAGGCCATGCAGAAGACCCAAGTTTGGCAGCACAAAAGGACCTGGAGTAGAAATACTGACTTTTCCTGCAAATATATGGCTGCTTTGGCCTGGAAGATATTTGGTGGTGCATACTACTTGCCCCTGTTTCGCGCATTTGCAAAACACTGACAACACTTTCTCTGTGTCGTCTTTTATATGGTAAGTGCTCATAGTACTTTAAGAAGACAGTCTTCGCTATTTCCTTGTCCACTTTTCGTATAGGTAAATTATCTAACACGTTCAGACATGGCAATGAAGCAATCATAAACTCCCTGTAATGTTTCTCAAAGCAGATGGGTGAAGGATGATGTGGAACATATATCCTTGAAGCAATTGAGGCATCTTCCATGTCCCCATTAAGAAGACTCCTAGGAAACTCCTCCTTATCTTCTATGCCAAAAGAAACCTGCTAAAAAGACTAAAAATCCATCAACAGTTGAGGGAAGAAAAAAATAACCCTTCAGGTTTAACCATAGAATGTAGCAGTCTCACAAGTGAAACTATATCCTGACCTTAATTTGCGAGTTGTCCTGTCCACTTGAGATATGAATGGCATCAGAAGAGAGTTCCGAAAAACCAATTCTTTGGAAGTGGCTTGAAATATTAACTGCACCATCATCTGATGAATCCCGAGTTAAGCTTTGAACCTAGGGAATTATAAATGAATCAACGATGGGAACTAAATTCCTGAAAGATTCACCTGCAGCCAAAGTTGAATATGTAGCATCTCTGCCTGCAATAGTTGGTTGCTTGGTGTCGAAGTACCTGCTCAAATGACCTGACACAGCTCTGTCACCAAGAAGGAGATTATCCCTCTTACTGGATGATGCAGGACATGGCCTAGTATCATTGCAACATACACAATTTTGAAAGCGGAGCTCGACCAAAGAAAGAAGTTTTGACAAGGCAGCACTAGTTGTCCATAGATTGGCAACTCTAGTTTCACACATTGAGAGACGCATCAGATTTGGCATGTAAGTGAAACAATCCTCCTCCAAGCTTGTAAGGGCAGTACAAAAATCCAGNATGGTTTTTTAATGAAAAATTTTTTGAGGCTTAGTCCATGGAACAAAGGCTTGGGTTGATAGGCCCAAGTCGTAGCGCTCATGGACAAGCCTCGTGGGGGTTCGGGGGCAACGCNGCGGTTTTTTAATGAAAATTTTTCTGAAGCTTAGTCCATGGAGTGAAGGCTTGGGCTGATAGGCCAAAGTCGTAGCGCTCATGGACAAGCCTCGTGGGGGTTCGGGGGCAACGCCCCTGAGGAAAATTTTTGGGCCCGTTATATAGCCCAGTGTGTAGGACATATAAACTCTATTGTTTTGGTGATTAGGGTTTATCGTGGATTGTACAGCTGCTCTCTGTATTCAACTCTTTTAATAATGAAATCCCTGCAGCTTCGTGGACGTAGGCAAATTGCCGAACCACGTAAAATCTGTGTCTTGTTCTTTCTTGTTTCTTATTGCTTTATATTCTTGATTTGTTCTTCGATTGTGTGTGTGTGTTAGTGGATTTAAATCGTGTTAAATCCCAACAACTAGTATCAAAAACAACGTTCTTTTTGTGAAAGCACCCAACTCAAAATCAACCGGCAATGATTGGAGTATCGCATAAGGCTCATAACTAGGTCGGAGATGTTATTTTATCTAAAATTATAGCACTGGATTGATCTTCTCTTTCTCTAATATTACATATTTCAAGAGCTAGATCAGTTTTTGATGTACAAGTGAGAATTGCCTTAACAAAAATGGATGACAAATATATTTATGTTCTNATTACAAACTTGACTGATAGGCTGGGAGGAAGAGTGCGAGGAATCTACACCTGATCCATTAGATTGGCCACCAGAATCGTGAAAATTGCCGCCAGATGAATAACGTCCACGTCCACGACCACGACCACGACCTCCTCTGTTGTGATTGCCGCAGCCACGATTTTGTTGAGTTGGTCTGTAGTTTGAGTGCGAAGAAAGGGGCTGGTTAGTGACCGGTGGCATTGAGCAAGGTTTGTTGCTGGAGGAACATCGGTAATAGCAAGTTGATGAGCAATAGTCTAGACACGATAAAAGTATTTGAAGTCGCAAGAATCTAAATACATAGAGATTGATCAGTTTCAAGTATATATGTTTTTTTATAAGAAACAGCATTTTATTAACAAACATAATGAATATTACATACATCTAAATCAAAATTGGACAAGAAATCCAATTCAATGGACAACAAAACACTGTCCCAAAAAACCAAAAAAAAAATTATCACAAGAAACCACTCTTACATGCTAGATGATGACCAACTCAAAGAAAACCAAAAAAAAAGAACATTCTCAAACTCCTTTGTCACCAACGCCAAAAAGGATGCTAAAAAATAAGCTCTTTTTCATAGCCCTTCCCACACTTCCATTCTATCTTCAAATATTCTCGCATTCCTTTCCATCCAAACATATTTATCAACTTCCCAAACTGTAGGAAGGGCAGATATGTTGGCCTCTAGAATATTCTTTGGTACAGTGACTTGATGAAAGAAAATTGACCTGCATAAAGACCCAAGTGACATCAATTGTCCTAAAGTGAAGACTTCCTTTTTTTTTTTAAATGTCAACAACATCAAGAATGAGAAGGCATGGAAAATTACCTTGATGATCTCGCACTTTGAGGTTGGCGGCAAATAGGCCGCCAAGACAGCCAAGTGAAAATGCTGGTTTTAAGAAAAACAGAAGTAAATGTTTGGATTTAATCTCAGAGAGGAAAAAAATTACAAATTGCATCCTAAAAGAAATGAAAAAGAGGAAAGATGTAAGTAAAATTTTCAGAATACACATTCTTCATCTTTATGTATGTTTAAGATACCGACGTTCTGGTCCAACTCGTGGTTTCCTACTTACTTTCGTTCATGCTGGTACTACCGTCGAAGATAAAAACAATAGAGAATCTGGATATGCTTTCAGTATCCAATTTGACCACCAGAGATAGGTAGGATATAATACATGGGTGATTTTTTTTCAGAAAACAGCCCTTGCAGTCGAAGTTCTGATTCAGAAGAATTAAAATGATAATGCATCGTATATATCGCAAAAAGAGCTTACTCTAAAAGGATCACTTCTTAGGGATTGCACAAACATTGAGCTGCCCAAGCCCCTTCCCTGGAAAGGAACAAAATGTGACGTTCTTCTTCAAGATAGCAGTCACTACTAGTAATTTTGTGTTTTTCTTTGTTCATTAACCGAATAGCACAGAGCAATGGACAATATATGAGTTACCTCCAAATGGATATCTCTAAGTCGCCTTCCAGTTTGAGCACAAGAAATGCGAACGACTGGCTCAGCACAACTCCCACTGACAATATAGTCCCTTCCATTCATGTAATATGAACGAGTGTAGTTATGGGCATTTCCAGTAGAAGCTATCTCAAAATTTGTGTGGAGGCTCCCATCTACAGCCAAAAGTTGCTTTACCTGGCACACTCAGCAGTTAGCCTCAACCTTTACCCATCAAACAATGCCAGTAACTCATTATTTCTAGATGAGATTACAACTTCACGGTCCGTGCAAATAGACCTTAATGACTGAAACCTATTTGCAACAGGTTGAAAATCTAGTCACATCTGAGTTCTTCTATGTCAAACAAACAATGTTCATATATAATGTTAACTGAAGTACCTCATTGTCTACAGCAGACACGAGCAGATAAAGGTCATCATGAGAGAAGCAAACCATCACGTTTCCTCCTGAACTTGAAGCAGCATAGCAAGGCCGTGTTGGTTTCTGTCTTAAGTCCCACATCTTCACATCGCGGTCAAATGATGAAGTAACAAACAGAGAGCGGGAATGGTGGGAAAATTTAGCAACATTAATGGGTTCTTGATGCATATCAGTGAACAACTGTAAGCGTCTTCCACTGCAAATATCATATACAGCAACTTTTCGTGAATAACCACTTGTAATAAACTGGTCATCAGTTGAATTGACATGAACAGAAGTCAACTGCTCAAAGTCATCGAAGGTTACAGTATTGGAACTGCAGTAGCCATCTGCAACTGTCCGCATCATATCATTAATGTCATACAACCTCAACGAACCATTGTCGGAACCAGCAACAAACTGATAGTTTAACACCAAACAAAAATGATCAGAAATTCCCAATAAATAAGTTCAAAACGGTAAGGTTAAGGCACATGTTGATCACAATCTGGGCATATAACTTGAGTATTTTAAATACTATCTCTCTCCATATATGAATCATACGGTTAAAGAAAATGGATAGTCCATGCATTTTTTTTTGGAAAGTACATCGAATCTTTGAGTAGTAAGCTTGCAGATGTAGTAAAAAACTAAAGCTGAAAAAATGCAGCCCATGAATTTAGCCAACAGTGTATTTTAGTAAGATTTTCAGGAGTTTTGCATCCAAATGCACAATGAAAGCATGTACACAAGGCCATCACTGTGGAGAAGTATGTAGTTCTTCTGTTTATAAGCAACAGAATCTTGAGAGAGAGCGAGAGAGAGTATGTAACAACCAATTGATAATGGTAAGATGCAGGAACGAATTTTATCAAAAATATAAAGCCAATCTGTATGCATTGTGTGTCATGACCGTTTGGCAATGATACAGGTGTATGATCAAACAATACAGAAGAAACGAAAATTTGATTCTCTTGAAAAGTCGAACCTTCATGTACCATATGTTTTTTGAGGTAATGGTTTACCTTGGATGGATACTTTTTAAGCCAACATAATCCCAAAACACTGTTAGCCATTCCAAGTGATGGAATATAACCAACGATATTCCCTTTCTCATGGTTGATAACTATTATCTCCCCATCTAGAGTTCCAAAAACCATTAAACTAGAGTCAGATGGGTGGTACTCAAACTGCCTTGGCCGAAAGCTCTTGTTCTCTTCTTTGGTAGTATGGCTGATATTGGACATGGGGTGTAACAGAGGCCATGCAGAAGACCCAAGTTTGGCAGCACAAAAGGACCTGGAGTAGAAATACTGACTTTTCCTGCAAATATATGGCTGCTTTGGCCTGGAAGATATTTGGTTGTGCATACTACTTGCCCCTGTTTCGCGCATTTGCAAAACACTGACAACACTTTCTCTGTGTCGTCTTTTATATGGTAAGTGCTCATAGTACTTTAAGAAGACAGTCTTCGCTATTTCCTTGTCCACTTTTCGTATAGGTAAATTATCTAACACGTTCAGACATGGCAATGAAGCAATCATAAACTCCCTGTAATGTTTCTCAAAGCAGATGGGTGAAGGATGATGTGGAACATATATCCTTGAAGCAATTGAGGCATCTTCCATGTCCCCATTAAGAAGACTCCTAGGAAACTCCTCCTTATCTTCTATGCCAAAAGAAACCTGCTAAAAAGACTAAAAATCCATCAACAGTTGAGGGAAGAAAAAAATAGCCCTTCAGGTTTAACCATAGAATGTAGCAGTCTCACAAGTGAAACTATATCCTGACCTTAATTTGCGAGTTGTCCTGTCCACTTGAGATATGAATGGCATCAGAAGAGAGTTCCGAAAAACCAATTCTTTGGAAGTGGCTTGAAATATTAACTGCACCATCATCTGATGAATCCCGAGTTAAGCTTTGAACCTAGGGAATTATAAATGAATCAACGATGGGAACTAAATTCCTGAAAGATTCACCTGCAGCCAAAGTTGAATATGTAGCATCTCTGCCTGCAATAGTTGGTTGCTTGGTGTCGAAGTACCTGCTCAAATGACCTGACACAGCTCTGTCACCAAGAAGGAGATTGTCCCTCTTACTGGATGATGCAGGACATGGCCTAGTATCATTGCAACATACACAATTTTGAAAGCGGAGCTCGACCAAAGAAAGAAGTTTTGACAAGGCAGCACTAGTTGTCCATAGATTGGCAACTCTAGTTTCACACATTGAGAGACGCATCAGATTTGGCATGTAAGTGAAACAATCCTCCTCCAAGCTTGTAAGGGCAGTACAAAAATCCAGATTAAGGGTGCGTAACTGCATGAAACTCCCAACCAAATTGAGTTTCCGAATCTCAGTGGACCTCAAGTTTAAGACTTGGCAATTCAAACCATCCTGGAAAAGTTCCCTGGAGATATCTCAAATTTGTGGAGTAAATATTATTATATACAACCAAAAAACAAATTGTTCTGAAAAAAATAATTCTTAATGATTTTTAGCCTGTTTATTTCTTAAAGCTCCATCTAAATGCAAAAATTTCAGAGAACCACCATATCAATTACCAATTTTCTTCCCCTGAAGAGGATATTAGGGGATGAAGGGAGGGGAAGCTAAAATTTAGATTATAGCATGACTATTGTGTACGAAACACTTAAAGTCCAACAATAATGACTGTGGGAAAACATTCATACAGACCACAATATGTCTTCAGTAAATGACATATCCTGGAGATCAACAACTCGTAGCCTCAAATTGATTGCATGCAGCAATGAGATGACATATTCCGGGTTCAGGGCACAGGGAGATTTATGAAGTACGTCGACCGCATCAACCTCATAAGAGTCCATTGCCAGGAAAACATCAATGAGGGGAGAGAAATCAGAATCCTTTAATTGGTCTAAAAAAATTACTATAGTGCATTTCTGATGGATAGAGTTCCCAATCTTGGCCTGAATTATAAAAATAAAAATCAGCATCAGCATCAGCATTCACATTACCCTTACAGGACAGATGACGCGATATGCAAGCGTAAAATAAGCTCAAAGCAAAAGCTTTACAAGCACATCAAAAAAATACGTTGAGGCATCATGCAGTATTGCTAGCAGCATACAATAGAGGTGTTTTGGAATTTAGTTCAAAAGGTTAAGAAGCATGCAATGTAAAACACTTATTGATCAACATGGCAATGAACAATGCAATAGATGCAGAAAGGCTCCAGCAAAGGATCAAAAGGAATTTTCAGCTCAGGGTAAAAAGAAAAAAAATCCTTGAATGATCAATACAAAATAATTAGATGACCATTAAATCATTTACTGTATCCCAGTTTCAATATGTTAGCTACCCTGTCGTTTTAGAATTAATTAAGATAGAAGTCAGATCATAACATATAGATAACACAAAATCTATATGCCAGTCTGACTGATCTCTCCATAATTTAATAAAGACATAAAATCCTATGATTGTCTTGAGCAACTAATGTATATTAGACATCTTCCGCAACCCTCTATATGAATTGCACCTACGATCTCCTTGAGCACCCATTGTATGAATGACATTTCTCATTTCCCTTTATATGAGTAGTGTTGGTTTTTTTTTTATGGAGTCTAGTTTTGTATATGTGATCCGGATGATGACCCGACCTGAAGTAATGTTGTGCGGTTTTTTAATGAAAATTTTTCTGAAGCTTAGTCCATGGAGTGAAGGCTTGGGCTGATAGGCCAAAGTCGTAGCGCTCATGGACAAGCCTCGTGGGGGTTCGGGGGCAACGCCCCTGAGGAAAATTTTTGGGCCCGTTATATAGCCCAGTGTGTAGGACATATAAACTCTATTGTTTTGGTGATTAGGGTTTATCGTGGATTGTACAGCTGCTCTCTGTATTCAACTCTTTTAATAATGAAATCCCTGCAGCTTCGTGGACGTAGGCAAATTGCCGAACCACGTAAAATCTGTGTCTTGTTCTTTCTTGTTTCTTATTGCTTTATATTCTTGATTTGTTCTNTGAGAAAAATTTTTGGGCCCGTTATATAGCCCAGTGCGTAGGACATATAAACTCTGTTGTTTTGGTGATTAGAGTTTATCGTGGATTGTACAGCTGCTCTCTGTATTCAACTCTCTCAATAGTGAAATCCTTGCAGCTTCGTGGATGTAGGCAAATTGCCGAACCACGTAAAATCTGTGTCTTGTTCTTTCTTGTTTCTTATTGCTTTATATTCTTGATTTGTTCTTCGATTGTGTGTGTTTGTTAGTGGATTTAAATCGTGTTAAATCCCAACAACTAGTATCAAAAACAACGTTCTTTTTGTGAAAGCACCCAACTCAAAATCAACCGGCAATGATTGGAGTATCGCATAAGGCTCATAACTAGGTCGGAGATGTTATTTTATCTAAAATTATAGCACTGGACTGATCTTCTCTTTCTCTAATATTACATATTTCAAGAGCTAGATCAGTTTTTGATGTANAAACAACTAGTATCAAAAACAACGTTCTTTTTGTGAAAGCACCCAACTCAAAATCAACCGGCAATGATTGGAGTATCACATAAGGCTCATAACTAGGTCGGAGATGTTATTTTATCTAAAATTATAGCACTGGATTGATCTTCTCTTTCTCTAATATTACATATTTCAAGAGCTAGATCAGTTTTTGATGTACAAGTGAGAATTGCCTTAACAAAAATGGATGACAAATATATTTATGTTCTNCAGGGCACAGGGAGATTTATGAAGTACGTCGACCGCATCAACCTCATAAGAGTCCATTGCCAGGAAAACATCAATGAGGGGAGAGAAATCAGAATCCTTTAGTTGGTCTAAAAAAATTACTATAGTGCATTTCTGATGGATAGAGTTCTCAATCTTGGCCTGAATTATAAAAATAAAAATCAGCATCAGCATCAGCATTCACATTANATTGGTCTAAAAAAATTACTATAGTGCATTTCTGATGGATAGAGTTCCCAATCTTGGCCTGAATTATAAAAATAAAAATCAGCATCAGCATCAGCATTCACATTACCCTTACAGGACAGATGACGCGATATGCAAGCGTAAAATAAGCTCAAAGCAAAAGCTTTACAAGCACATCAAAAAAATACGTTGAGGCATCATGCAGTATTGCTAGCAGCATACAATAGAGGTGTTTTGGAATTTAGTTCAAAAGGTTAAGAAGCATGCAATGTAAAACACTTATTGATCAACATGGCAATGAACAATGCAATAGATGCAGAAAGGCTCCAGCAAAGGATCAAAAGGAATTTTCAGCTCAGGGTAAAAAGAAAAAAAATCCTTGAATGATCAATACAAAATAATTAGATGACCATTAAATCATTTACTGTATCCCAGTTTCAATATGTTAGCTACCCTGTCGTTTTAGAATTAATTAAGATAGAAGTCAGATCATAACATATAGATAACACAAAATCTATATGCCAGTCTGACTGATCTCTCCATAATTTAATAAAGACATAAAATCCTATGATTGTCTTGAGCAACTAATGTATATTAGACATCTTCCGCAACCCTCTATATGAATTGCACCTACGATCTCCTTGAGCACCCATTGTATGAATGACATTTCTCATTTCCCTTTATATGAGTAGTGTTGGTTTTTTTTTTATGGAGTCTAGTTTTGTATATGTGATCCGGATGATGACCCGACCTGAAGTAATGTTGTGCGGTTTTTTAATGAAAATTTTTCTGAAGCTTAGTCCATGGAGTGAAGGCTTGGGCTGATAGGCCAAAGTCGTAGCGCTCATGGACAAGCCTCGTGGGGGTTCGGGGGCAACGCCCCTGAGGAAAATTTTTGGGCCCGTTATATAGCCCAGTGTGTAGGACATATAAACTCTATTGTTTTGGTGATTAGGGTTTATCGTGGATTGTACAGCTGCTCTCTGTATTCAACTCTTTTAATAGTGAAATCCCTGCAGCTTCGTGGACGTAGGCAAATTGCCGAACCACGTAAAATCTGTGTCTTGTTCTTTCTTGTTTCTTATTGCTTTATATTCTTGATTTGTTCTTCGATTGTGTGTGTGTGTTAGTGGATTTAAATCGTGTTAAATCCAAACAACTAGTATCAAAAACAACGTTCTTTTTGTGAAAGCACCCAACTCAAAATCAACCGGCAATGATTGGAGTATCACATAAGGCTCATAACTAGGTCGGAGATGTTATTTTATCTAAAATTATAGCACTGGATTGATCTTCTCTTTCTCTAATATTACATATTTCAAGAGCTAGATCAGTTTTTGATGTACAAGTGAGAATTGCCTTAACAAAAATGGATGACAAATATATTTATGTTCTGTTTGATAGGAAAGATGGAAAGTAGGAGAGATACATTTTTTATCCTTCAAAGAAGAAAAGTAGGAATGATATACTTTCCTTCTTTTGTACTTGGTATGATGGATAAAAAATAAAAATGACTAATTTTTTTTTGTAAAATGAAAAAAAATATTTTTTATTTTTAATTTTAATTTTAATTTTTATATTTGTTTAAAAATATATATATAAATACATATTTTATCATTGTATTTATATATGAAATTAATGTATATATAATATATGTATATATCAAATGATATATAGACAANAATTTTAATTTTAATTTTAATTTTTATATTTGTTTAAAAATATATATATAAATACATATTTTATCATTGTATTTATGTATGAAATTAATGTATATATAATATATGTATATATCAAATGATATNTACCCTTACAGGACAGATGACGCGATATGCAAGCGTAAAATAAGCTCAAAGCAAAAGCTTTACAAGCACATCAAAAAAATACGTTGAGGCATCATGCAGTATTGCTAGCAGCATACAATAGAGGTGTTTTGGAATTTAGTTCAAAAGGTTAAGAAGCATGCAATGTAAAACACTTATTGATCAACATGGCAATGAACAATGCAATAGATGCAGAAAGGCTCCAGCAAAGGATCAAAAGGAATTTTCAGCTCAGGGTAAAAAGAAAAAAAATCCTTGAATGATCAATACAAAATAATTAGATGACCATTAAATCATTTACTGTATCCCAGTTTCAATATGTTAGCTACCCTGTCGTTTTAGAATTAATTAAGATAGAAGTCAGATCATAACATATAGATAACACAAAATCTATATGCCAGTCTGACTGATCTCTCCATAATTTAATAAAGACATAAAATCCTATGATTGTCTTGAGCAACTAATGTATATTAGACATCTTCCGCAACCCTCTATATGAATTGCACCTACGATCTCCTTGAGCACCCATTGTATGAATGACATTTCTCATTTCCCTTTATATGAGTAGTGTTGGTTTTTTTTTTATGGAGTCTAGTTTTGTATATGTGATCCGGATGATGACCCGACCTGAAGTAATGTTGTGCGGTTTTTTAATGAAAATTTTTCTGAAGCTTAGTCCATGGAGTGAAGGCTTGGGCTGATAGGCCAAAGTCGTAGCGCTCATGGACAAGCCTCGTGGGGGTTCGGGGGCAACGCCCCTGAGGAAAATTTTTGGGCCCGTTATATAGCCCAGTGTGTAGGACATATAAACTCTATTGTTTTGGTGATTAGGGTTTATCGTGGATTGTACAGCTGCTCTCTGTATTCAACTCTTTTAATAATGAAATCCCTGCAGCTTCGTGGACGTAGGCAAATTGCCGAACCACGTAAAATCTGTGTCTTGTTCTTTCTTGTTTCTTATTGCTTTATATTCTTGATTTGTTCTTCGATTGTGTGTGTGTGTTAGTGGATTTAAATCGTGAGAAATCCCAACA